GAAAGGGCAATATCGAGCAATACACGAATGGCGCCTTCGAAGTGGAAGAGAGGACCAAAGGAAAGGAAAAATGGACCAAAGATCTAAACGTTGTTGTAAAAGCTTGCTCAGAAGTTGATTATTCTCAATGCATGGTTTGTTTTAAACCTTGCGTGACCTAAGAAAGGTAAGCGAAATTTCAGCGAAAGATGTATTTTTAGGGTGTTGCTATCAAATTGTCATCGTTTTACTGTTTTAGTCTGCATACGTTCGATCGTATATCGGTAAAATTAAGACTAGATGTAATTTTCGATCGCGGAAAAATCAGTAAACAGAATCGAAACAGAAATGTTTCGAAATATTGATGTTGCACGCAACATCAGCGGTATTCGTGCTTTGGAGGAGAAATGCCATAAGCTACAATTCATAGTGCCCCAATTATTTGATCCAAAAGTATCTAACAGAATGAAATTGCGTTGTTAGTTGCAAGATAAATCTCAAAGATTCATTAAAAATGAAGACTCATTAAAAATGCAAAGCTGAATATGGTGCGATTGCAGTTATTCGTAATTAGTATGCAGCAGGAAAAACATTTATTTTTTCTTGTCGAATACTCAGTACGTATTGCCTCTCAACCCAGCTGACGTCGACATGACGAAGAGGATAAAGAAGAAACAAAATGGAGAAACAGAGTAGACTGAATGTCGAGAATGCTGATAAAAATGGATAAGGCGAAGAGTTATTACAAGACCTATTTGTGCGGTGCATCTGTATCTTAGTCATAATCCGAATTTCGTACGACTTGAGGCAAGCTTATTTGCTCGGTTCTTCGTCAGTGAAAGATGCCCATTTAAACACAGTTGAATTAAACGGCATTTTTCTTCGCTTGTATGGAACTTTGGTGTCATCTTTGAATTGAAAGAAATGAATTCCGCTTTCCAGTTGGGACTCCATTAGTGCGACGGACTCAAGTCAGATGCTCGCTTTATTACAAACAACAAACTCGCGTACTAATACTGACTAATGCGCGATCATGAAAGACCTCAAGGTCAGCGAAGTTTCAGCGAGTAACTTGTCTATGAAAGTGTGATCTATAAAATGACTGCGTTTAACTGTTTCGCACTACGATCGATTTAAACATTTCACAACGTAAGTCAGTTGAATATAAATTGAGACCTCCGTTTGAATAGTCGCTGTTTCACTTGTGTTTGTTATTTGTATCAGTACTGGCTAATATCTCCGCAGGCAAGGGATAAAATAACTAAAACAATGACTTGGAAATCATACTTTAAGCTTAGTCCCGCAGTATTATGACTATATCAGCATGCAAAACGTGGCGTGTGGACATAGTTACTCTCTTAGGTTCCAAAACAAACCATCGCTGATATGTTCCAGCGGTAAAGTGTTCCGTTTGTAAATCTGTTCATCGTGAGATATGACTCATAAGACCTGGTTTAGTTGTGTCAACATATTTTGGCAGAATAAAATTTTATGTAAATTGCAGTTCATATTTACTGTTAACAACGTGACCAGAGACTTACTTTCCCAA